CAGCACACACACGCAGCACGCAGCACACACACGCAGCACAGCAGCACGCAGCACACACACGCAGCACACAGCACACACACGCAGCACGCAGCATGCAGCACAGCAGCACACAGCACACACACGCAGCACACAGCACACACACGCAGCACGCAGCATGCAGCACAGCAGCCACACACGCAGCACACAGCACACACACACACACGCAGCACGCAGCACGCAGCACAACAGGACAGTCCACAACACAACAGCACAAAACATGACCAGCAGGTGTTGTCTTTGCCGTGAGCAGGGAACGGCATCGCAGCGCTCCAGTCGGTGCCCACGGCGATCTTCTGTGTGCTGCGCTGCCTGCAGCCCGTGCCAGAGCTGCCCGCGCGCTACGGCGGCCTGGAGAGGACCCTGGCCTTCTGCCTGGCACTGGGGGGCGACACCGACACCATTGCCAGCATGGCCGGTGCCATCGCTGGGGCGCACTACGGCATCGCCACCATCCCGTCGGCCTGGAAATGCTGCTGCGAGGGCGCCGAGGAGGCGGAGCTCTGGGCCGAGCGGCTGCACCAGCTGTACCAGCAGCGGGCACAGGGGGGCGCCACTGAGGCACAGCCCGAGCCGCCCCTGGAGTGACGCCGTGACCGACGCTGAATCAGAGGCTGGCGGCCTGGTGGACGCTGAGCCCCAGCGGGTTCGAGCCTCACAAGCTCGGGCTCTGGGCTCCAGCCCGCTGGACCTGGGGCTTTTACACCTGTCCTTTCTCTGCTTTCACTGGGGTCCTAATAAAACTCATTTAAAATTAATTCGTTCACTTTCCCGCTGATTGCTTGACCGGTGTAGCTCGCCTGCCTGTGCCAGTGTGAGGGGCGTGTGTGAGCTCCCTGGGACCGGCCCGGAGAAGGGTTCGACAGCAAGGCTGAGCTGAAGCCCTGTCCCTGCAGGGGAGCCGGTCCAGTCAGGGCGTCCATTATTATTATTATTATTATTATTATTATTATTATTATTATTATTATTATTTTTACATTGTGAAGGAACAAATGAATGAAATTGAATTACTGCAGTTTCTATGATTGCAGTTTCTAGCTTGTCCGCCAGGTGGAGCCGCTGTACCCTGCATAGAGGCGCGGAGCCACGCCCAGTCAAAGTCTAGTTTCAGCAGGGCGCTGGCTGAGTAAGGCAGCGAGATCGGGTAGGGTGAGGGCCGGAACTGATTCCAGAGCTGCGAATAATGAGAGAGTTTTGTCACAAAACAGCAGATCTGTACAGAGAGACGGTAACAGACTGCACACAGGTTTGTAAAACTGTACAGAGACACGGTACCAGACTGACTGCACACAGGACTGTAAAACTGTACAGAGACACGGTACCAGACTGACTGCACAC